ATTTTAAACACATACAAATAATCTTATTTACTTTTTGGATCTCCCAATTCTTCTGGCTTTCTAGTCTGCAAGAGCAGGTCTCCCCCAACCTGAAAAACAAAATTTTAAAAACTATCATCATCTTGCTACTCTCTTGAGCTGCTTCCTAATTTCTTTATATTTTTTAATGACCAGATATAACCAACAAGTTCTTTCCTTTCTCCCCTTTACTTCTTAACTCCCTACAATCTAGCTTCAATCTCTAACGCTCTACTGAAATTCCCCCGTTTGACTTTTTAATTTTGTTATTTTGAATTAAATTCAGACTTATTTTTTTTAAATTGCAAAAATTGTGAGAAAATTTCCATATACCCTTTACCCAGTTTCCCCAAATGTTAACACCTTATATAACTATAGTACATCTATCAAAACCAAGACATTTAACATTCATACAATACTATTAACAAACTACAGACTCCATTAGAATTTCACTAGTTTCACAAACGTCTAACTTCTAAATCCATCTTTTTAAGAAAGATTTTTACTAAAGCCATCTTAAAGAACATTGTCTTAACTTCTTAAATTTTGAATATAAAAGTAAGAAGTGATGAGTAGAAAACTTGGAAAATGTGGAAAGATATAAGAAAGAAAACACAAGAGATAGGAAGAACACATTAAATGACAATGCCATGGGAATATCATCAGCAAAAATCCATACTGTGGATTTCTTCAGAAAAAAAATTTAAGAAGCAATAGAAGTGATGAAGGGGGAACCTGTAGTGTTAAAAAGATTCATGGCTAAGGGTAACCAGTTGCAATGTATGGACTGGATCCCAATTTAAGTAAAGTGTAAAAATATAAAACAATTAGGAAACTGCAACTCCAAATATCTAGTAATCTAAGGAATCATTGGTAGTTTCTAAGTGTCATAATGGTACTACATTTATATTTAAAGAACATTTACTTTAGAGCTACCTATCAGCATATTTGTAGATAATATGACTACTTCAAAGTGATGCCCTTCCTGCTCTCTTCCTGATTGTCCCTGATCCTTCATGTAAGTAGCTCTAAGCCCTTTCCAATCCAGTCTTTCAAATCTCCTTCCAACCTTCAGTTCTGCCTATAACTCTCTTTAGCTCCAAAAGAGCAGGAGAGCCCAGCAGAAAACATAAGAAAACACCCCGGTATATGTTAATATTCTGTTCATGTAAAAAACATATATGGAGTAAATAAATTTGGGATTATCTGTTTGTATCCTATCCCTCGCTCTTATTCTATGTACTTACCTTTTTATTGCTTAATATTATAAGCACTTTGCTGAATATTTTAATATTTTTAAAAAACCTAAGTCTGACCAGGAATCAAACCCACCACCTTGGCATATCAAGATGACGCTCTAACCAACCCAGCTACCTGACCAGGGCAGAAAACCTAATTTTTAATAGCTGCAGAATATTCCACATATACATGTACCACGATATATTTATTTCATCTGTTAGTGTTAGACCCTGTGACCCCTCAGTTGCCAAAGCAATTCAGTCTTCTTCCTCTTTGACTTTCCATGGTGTGGTTCTTTATAGTATTGACCATCCTTCTGCTTTGAAAAATTCCATCACTGGCTTCCGTGATATCCTCTCCATCTCTCCTTCACAGATGAGTAATACTTCTAGGACTTATCTTCCTCCAGTTCCTCCCCCAGCTTCTATCTAGGGCCTCTCTTAGCCTCTTCTTTCCCCCCTCTCCTCGTTTTCCCTGGGTGGCTCCTTTTTCTCTTGGCTTCACTGAAAAGGATTTCCAGATCTATAACCTCAACCCTAACCTCATTCCAGTGTTCCAGACCAGCCACTCCCCTGCCCATTGTACATGACCACCAAACTAGAGTCCAGTGTAGTCCCACTAACACTACTGATCAAGCAAAGGGAGCCATCTCTAACCAGCTCTGCCTGCCCCCTCACACCCACATGTATTGCTGCCATCTCCTCAGGGTTCAGCATGATGACCTGGAGTCACTGCCCACTCTCGCCTTCACGCTCCATCTCTGCCAGTCACCACGCTCTGTAGAATCTACTCCTGAAATGCTTCCCACAATTGCTCATAGTCCATCCTCACCACTCCACTCAGACTTTGAATTTTCGCCCCCCACTTGCATTCATCTCCTTCTCAGTCTTTTCTCCTCTGTTTCTGTTCCCTCCAACTCATCTTACCTCCAACCATCGTATTAACCTTTCTAAAGTTTGACTTTAATCAAGCGGGTGGTTTACCTGTTCAATAATAATCTTCAGAGGTTCCCAATTACTCACCAAATTGAGTTCTGACATTTAATGCCCTATTTTATATGACCTACAAACACCTTCCAATCTTATTTCTCACTTCCTCTCGCACACATTGTGGAGGGGGAATAGCAAGTCTCCAGAGTCGGATCCCAACTTCGCAGTGCCATGGCTTTGGCTAAACTATCTGCACCTCCTCCGCTTCCCCACCCATGAAATGGGAGGACCAGCAATACCTACCTCATTTCTTGTTGTGAGGATAAAATGAGATTAAATACATAAATCCTAACATTAATACACCTTAATAAGCCTAGCATTAATGAATATGGCCCTTGCCCTCTTGATGCTTACAGCCCAGTTCAGATTATACTTTCAAAAAGAAAATTGAGAATAAGTCAGAGCAATGTTTAACACTGTGTTTAATCAACTCTAATCAAATTTCACAATGTAATCCAGACTGTTTCCTAGATGGTCAAGCTAAGTAGGAGCCTGGAGGTGTTAGAGGGTGAGGAGGAATGAGGCAGAGAGAGAAATCTTCGCTGGAAGGTTGAGCTCACTGAAAAGCAGACAAATTAGGTAGGGAAAGTAGAGTAAGGAGTAATTTTACAGCAGAATAATTATATATGCTGCTGGGGTGAGAGGAATAAACTAATTAATAAGAGCGTGCCTCCTACAAAGTTAATGATTCTTTGGGCTAGAATCTCAGTAGAGGACAATGGACGCCAACAACACTGGCTGCATGTAGTAATTACCATCATTATAAACACCATGGATTAACATTTACCTGCCAGAAGTTCATGTGAGTAATGGGTGTCTCCCAAACCTGTAGTTGAATAAGAGCACCTGCAATTCCTAGAGAATCAGTTTTGATTAAAGAAGTTTCTGAGTTTTATTCGTTTTCTATTTTGAGGCTCTAAGTTGCTATTCTATTAATCAGGTCACATCTCCATGCTAAAACCTAAGAGAAGGAAGCTGGACTTCCCTTCTCGGCCACATGTGCCCTTAAACAAGGCATGAGCCGACTGTGACTTACAGAATGTAATTTAAGGAATCCTAGGAAGACACTGCCCCTGGGAAGAGCAGGGATGTCCACATCCCTGAAATGACATCATTATATATCATGCAGTTGTATCCAGTTGTCTTTTTACAAATGTAAGTACTCTGAGGAAGGCCACATTGAGTCTCTAATCTTTGGTTTGAATGTAATTGGCATTCATCTGAGGGAAGGAGAGAAGGCACAGAAAGAGGATGGAAGAGAGTTACTCCATCGCCCTATACTTGGCGCCATAGCGACTCTTTCTGCAGGTATCCCAATACCATGATTTTGAAAGTGAATGATTATTTTAAAAATAATCTTAGAAAATTATTTTTTTACTCTGTATTTTTTTCTACCCTGTGTGATCTAAAGGGAAATCTATAGGCTCGATTCCCTCTACCTCTTCTGCAGGATCCTGCAGAAAGCGAGGAGTCCGCACGGTGGAGGCTGCAGCAGCCCACCCTCGGGAATGCAAGGCCGCAGGCCTCGCCTGTCCCCTGGAAGGGAGAGCATTTGGAGAGCAGCTGACCCTGCACGATCCTCTGTGGCAGTGGGTGCAGTTATGTAAGGGCTTATGAAATGTGAAAAGCCAGCCTGGAGCTGCAGTATGGACACGAAGTGACTGATAACCACGCCTGATATCACTCAGGTCCCAGCCCGCTGCAGCCCTGGCAAAGGCTCCGGTGAAATCCAGGGTAGAGGATGTGAGCCCCCTCAACCGGGGCCTGCCCTGCACTGCAAGTCTCCAGGGCCCACGAGGCCTGCTCACGGGGAGTTCCAAGTTCAGGTAGACTGGAGGGTTTCAGTGAATGACCTGTTTCATCCAAAGTCGAAATTCATGAGATCTTATTTCTGTATGTAACTCGGTTCTCATCTTCTACTTCTAAGTTACTCTTCCGAGTCACAGCCCTGGACTCCCAGGTACTGCTCGTGCTGCCACCTGCAGGTGAAAGGGGAAATTACGCCAACTACAGTTGGGTGGCCGGTAACTGGAATAAGGATTTCAGGACAGGGTAGAATGTATTTCAGATTACTGCAACTACTGGAATCATCACGTTTAAATATGTTAATTCCAAAGAGCCCAGAAATTGGAGAAAAACTTGACCCAGCCTCCACGCATCCTCTGGAGGTTTCCCTTCGGTTTGGTTTTTCATTTGTGGATTTGGAAGAGGAGTGATGATATGCCTATATGTTTGCACAAATACAAGTCAGTGATGTGAAACAGATGTTCACCACCAAAGCATGTAATTGACCCACACAGGTCTGGGCTGGTATGTTGCCACTGCCACCTGCATAACGTCACCGTGATTTCCGTCACAGGCAGTGCCTCCTTGCCTCTCTATTGCTCGGAGTGGCCCCTATGACAACACCAGTGGTTGTCAGCAGGGTCACTTGCAGCCCCGTGGGTTACCATATCACCCTGTACTCTGACTCTTTCTGCATGTATCCCAATCCCATGATTTTGAAAGTGAATGACTAGTTAAAGAATAATTTTAGAATAATTTCATTAGGATGATGGTTAAGAGCACAGGCCCTAGGATTAGGGCTGCCTAGGTTTGAATCCTGACTCCAACTTTTCAACTTTGTGGCCTGGAAAAAGTCGCTTTTTCTCTCTATGCCTTAGTCTCCTCATTTACTGAATGGAAACGACAGTGCAGTTCTCACAGGCCTATTGCACATTTTAAGTGAGAAAATGTACCCCAGCACCTGTAGCATAGGAGGCTGTGTCTGGGCACAGAACGCCTAGGTGTGAGTCCAGGCTCTGCCTCTCGCTGGTGTGGAGGACACGGGAGGGGCCGCTTCACTTCTCTGTGCCTTGGGTTTCTCTCCTACAAAATGAAGATGGTTACAGTATCTATCTCACAGGTACTTTGTGCAAATTCAGCGAAATATGTCTACTACACTTAGACACAGTAAGTACTCAAATGTTAAGTCTTTTAAACCTGAATTAGATGAGTTTTTGCCATTTTCAGCATTCTGTTGTTTGGAAGATTCTGATTTTTAGACTCTCAGATAAACAATTTCCTCCAATTGTTTACCACTTCACAGTTGTCTTGAGCACAGTTGTGTGTGTCACCTTGGGGGCTAGATGTCCTCGTGTCCATTTTGCTTTGAGAAACTAAAGCTCAGAGTGGTTTAGTGGCTGGCCCAGTACAGGACAGCAGGTGGAAGAGGGCACACACTGGCTCTTCTCTCCCCTGGACCACGGTTCTTTTTACTATGTCACGGCTGCCTTTATAATTCCTCTAAATGTGATGAGCACACATATTATTTTACGCCACTCTGCAGTGCCTGAATTTTTTTAACTTATGGCAACTTCCTAAATCAGACCTCAAAATGTCAGGGAAACTAAAAGAAATACACTTAGAGCCTTTTCTTCATAACAAACCTTTTCTCCTTGAATTATTAATAGGCTGACCTAGCAGGTGCTGTATTTGGAGGGGAGGGTGGAAGGGGCCACAGATGGGGCATTGGGGTGCCGGCGTCTTACAGACCTCAGTTGTATTAAGCTCAGTGCTCCTACCACAGCCCTAGCACCTAACCGTGAGGTGCTCCCCCGAACAGTGAGATTACTTACTTCTTCCTCTTCCCTGGCAGACTGTGAGTTCTGTGAAGGTCCAGATTGTATCTAACGTATCAGTTGTTTTAAAAGTTCTTTCAGTATCTTGTCTGAAGAAAAGAAATGATGAGAAAAAAACACTTTTTACTGAAAAGAATCAGGAAACAACATAATGTTTCTTTAGACACTTGAAAACAGATCTATCCCAATCTATAGAGAAAGAGATTTAGAATAGATTTGATAGTTTTGGCTAAATGTCCCATTGAAGATCTTCCTTTCCTGATTAGTAATAACAATCACAACTAACATATATCAAATACCAACCATGAGCAGGCCCTAGACCAAGCATGTTACACGCATAAGTTCATTCAGCCTTGTAGTAAGTAACCCTCCATACCCTGCTCATCCTCTTTTTACCGCTGAAGGCAGGCTGAGAACTGGGACTTGCCGGTGTCACACAGCCAGTGAGTAAAGTAGCAGAAATGGGACTTGAACCCAGGTCTGTCCAGCTGGCTAGTCTGCCTCCCAGGAGTGGCCGGGCAGCTGCTGCTGGCTTGCTCAGGGGAAGCGCCTGATGTGGAACAACAGGTGCAGTGAGTATGTGCATGCTTCCTACCACAACCATCTTAATTTCTTCTCTTTGGTTTATTTTTCATTTCAAGTGACCAGGGTTTATACCAGAGTCATCTTCTTTGGCTCCTGCCCTGCCTGGGTCCGGCACTTCTAGCCCTGCTCTGGCCCCAGAGTGCTCTCTCCCCTAGTTCCTGGCACCAGGGCAAGGGGAAACATCCAGTGTCCGAGATCAGCAAAGCCCTCATGTGACAGATGAGCACTCGCATTCCCAGCAGAGTACACGCAGGCCTCTGATGAGTGGTTTCAATGACCAACAAGCCAAGACCTTGTCTGTCCCCCAGCAAGTCCCAAATGCCCAGCTCACAGGGAGCAGCTGCTCTTCACATGCTCCTGACCCCAAAGGTTAAACGTTTCCTACTGGCTCATGCAGTCCCTATTCTCTTTCCCAATTCTCTTCCCATAGTCCTGCTTGTCCCTACCCATGGGACCATATCCTTTTATGACTGATGACACAGCCAATTTTGGGGGGGAATTTGATTTCCAAATACTCAACAGCTTCAATAATTTAAGCAATAACTGTACAGGGAGCCCCAGACTACCCATAGCTTCTATTCTCAAGCCTTTTTACAAAATCTTTTTGCCCTAATAGTTGGCTCAGTTGGTTGGGCATCAGCCCACAAAGCAAAAGGTCACTGGTTCAATTCTTGGTCAGGGGTCATGCCTGGATTGCAACCAATCAATGTTTCTCTCCCTCTCTTTCTCCCTCCTTTCCCCCTCTCTAAAAATAAATAAATAAAACCTTTTAAAAAAATCCTTTTAAGGATTGTTTAGAATTCTAAACTCTTTTTTTCCTGTTGTACGTGGTTCTAAATAATCATTAGGTCCTGTGGCAGCCCCTAGAAACCAGCCAGCACATATTGAACACCTGCAGTGGAAGGCAGTGGACAATGCAATATGTCTGCCACTGGCATTTGAGGAAAAGTGACACTGATTCAAGAAGAATGGAAAGTAGGAAGAGATGCTGAAAGGAGGTTCTGAGCAACTTCAGAGGCCACAGAGCAAGAGCGTCTCAACTCCAGATGCAGAGGAAGCAGCCAGAAGTTTGTTAGAATGTAGATCTTTGGGCCCCTCCCACAGAGATTCTGATCCTTGGAGTCTCAGGAGTCTGATGTGGATCCCAGAACAGATCTCTTCCAGCACAGGAGGTTAACAGATAAGCACTCAGAGAAAAGCTGCCCGAGGCACCAAGAACACCTGCAGGAAAACACCTGAGCCCACCAATAAGGACGGTTGAGAGAGCAGAGTTTCCCAAAGGAGGAGTTCAGAAAGAAGGACGAGCAGCAAGGAGGAGACTGAGGGAATGTCCTATGGGTCCTGAGAGGACCTAAATGTTAGACGCCTTATACAACTCATAAACCCCACATTTCCAAAGAACCATTACACAATCTCTCATCAACTTGCACAGTATGAGAAATGCATGTGATTCATCTCACTTTTAATTTTTCTTAGAATTATTTTTATTCTACTGAACTAAAATCTACTTCCCTTTATTTTTTCTACGTGACCCTCACAGAAAAAGAAAGCTTAGAAAACTAATTGATTTCCAGTCAAGATGGCAGCATAGATAAACATGACTCACTTCCTTGCACAACCACATCAAAATTACAACTAAACCCTGGCTGGTGTGGCTCAGTGGATTGAGCACTGGCCTGTGAACCAAAGGGTCACCACTTCAATTTCCAGTCAGGGCACCATCCCTGGGTTGCTGGCCAGGTCCCCAGTAGGAGGCACATGAGAGGCAACCACACACTGATGTTTTTCTTCCTCTCTCCCTCCCTTCCCCGCTGTTTAAAAATAAATTAATCTTTTTTAAAAAAGACAAAATTACAACTAAAATATAGAACAACCATCACACAGAACCATCAGGAATCAAGTCAAATGGGAATCTAACAACTACAGAATTAAAGAAACCACATTCCTCCAGACTTGTAGGAGGGGCAGAGATGTGGAATGGGCTTGTCCCACATCTATCTGTGGTGGGTAAAAATTCAGGAAGGATACCTCAGGGATATATCACTGAACCCCAGCCCAGGGTTCCAGTGCCAGGAAGATAAGTCCCCACAACTTCTGCCTACAAAAACCAACAGGGATTAAATTGCTAGAAGAAACTTCTGGACCCCCAAGCAGTTCTTCTTAAAGAACCTACACATGGATTCACCAACTCAGACTCACTCCCACTGAGCTCCAGCACCAGGTTAGCAGCTTAAAAGACACCAAGGGTACACACAGAGAAATTCGAGTGTCTGGCAGCAAGGCAAGCAGAACTTGGCTTCTCCTGGGTATCTTCAAACCAGCACAATTAGCAGCCATCTCAAATTGCTTTATAGCTCATGCAGGGTGTCCCCAGGCAGAACACAGGAGGAAGATGACCTTGGTGTGCCCCACTCAGGAAACCACAGAATCTGTGCACCTAGTGTACAGCTACAGACCACGTCAGAGCACCATTAACCTACCCTGCACAGCTGATCCTCCATGGAGGGTGGACTGTGGTGGTCAATGGTCACAGCCACTCCTTGCAGCTGAGGGGCCTGGGTGAATCTCTCCCATTGACCTGCCAACATCAATCAAGGCTCAACTACAAGGGGACAGTGTACTCATCCCACACAAAGGATGCACCTCGAGTACTCAGCTTGGGTGATGTGGAGGCTGTGCCACTGGACCCTATAAGACACCTACTACATTAGGTCACACTACCAAGACAAAGAGTCATGGCAGCTCTACCCAATACATAGAAACAAATACAGGGAGGCTGCCAAAATGAGGAGACAAAGAAACATGGCCCAAATGAAAGAACAGATCAAAGCTTCAGAAAAAGAACTAAACAAAATGGAAATAAGCAATCTATCATGTGCAGAGTTCAAAGTACTGGTTATAAGGATGCGGAAAGAACTTAGTGAGGACCTCAACAGCAGCAAAAAGATCCGTCAGAAATGAAGTATGCACTAATTGAAATAAAGAACAATTTACAAGGAAACAACAGTGGAGTGGATAAAGCTGAGAATCAAATCAATAATTTGGAACATAAGGGAGCAAAAAACAACAGTCAGAACAAAAGGAAGAAAAAAAGAATCCAAAAGAACACGATAGTGTAAGCAGCCTCTGGGACAACTTCAAGCATTCCAACATTTGCATCACAGTGGTGCCAAAAGGAGAAGAGAAAGAGAAAGAAATTAGAAGTCTGTTTGAAAAAATAATGGAAAAAACTTTCCTAGTTTGGTGAAAGAAATAGACATGGAAGTGTAGGAAGCACAGAGAGTCCCAAACAAAATGGGTGCAAAGAGGCCCACTCCAAGACACATCATAATTAAAATGCCAAAGTTTAAAGATAGAGAATCTTAAAAGCAGCAAGAGAAAAGCAGTTAGTTACCTACAAGGGCGTTCCTGGAAGACTATTAGCTGATTTCTCAAAAGAAACTTTACAGGCTATAAGGGATTGGCAAGAAATACTCAAAGTCATGGAAAGCAAGGGACTGACAGCCAAGATTGCTCTACCCAGCAAATCTGCCATTTAGAATTGAAGAACAGATAGAGAGCTTCCCAGACTAAAAAAAAAAAAAAAGCTAAAGGAGTTAATCATCACCAAATCATTATTATATGAAATATTAAAGGAACGCATTTAAGAAAAAGGCAAAAACTATGAACAATAAAATGGCAATAACTACATGTTTATCAACAATGGAATTTGAAAAACAAACTAAGTGAACAAGAACAGAGACAGAATCATGGATACAGAGAGGGTTTTGATGTTTACAGATGGGAGGGGTTTGGGGGAAGAGGTGAAGAGACGAGGGGATTAAGAAGTACAAATATGTAGTTACAGAATAGCCATGGAGATCTACAGCACTGTATAAGAAATGGAGTGGTCGAAGAACTTTTACACATGACCCATGGACATGAACAATGGTGGAGGTATTTCCTGAGGGAGTGGGGGGTTCTTGGTGGAGGGAGGCAAAGGGGGAAAATTGGGACAACTGCAATAGCATAACCAATAAAATATTATTAAAAATTTTTAATTAAAACATGTAAAACTAGAACACTAATTAATATGTGACTGATATATCCCATAATCTCCCTAGAAATGGTTTTTAAGTTTTTAAAACAACTTTATTGAGATGTAATCGATCTATAATTTAAAGTATACAATTTCATAAGTGATTACATACAGATACACCTGCGACACTATTCCCACAATCAAGGCAATGAATATACCCATCACTCCCAAAAGTTTTCTTGTAATTCCTCTCTCTAAATCCCTGTCTCCATGCCTAGGTAACCACTAATCTGATTTCTGTCACTATAGATTACTTTGGATTTTATATAATTTATACATATAATTTATAATGTGTAGTACTCTTTTTTTGCCTGGCTTCTTTACTCAGTAGTTTGGAATTCATCCATATTGCTGTATGAATACTATACTCCTCTTCATTGTTCCATTGTGTAGATACCCCACAATTTGTCTAGTCATTCACCTATTGATGGACATGCAGGATGTTTCAAGTTTTACTAATACAAATAAAGCTTCTGTAAACATTCATCTAAACTCTTTGTATGGACGTATTCTTTCACTTCTCTGGGGTAAATATTTAGAATAGAGTGATTAAGTCACACAATAGGTATATGTTTAAATTTTTAAGATATTTTCAAACTGTTTTCCAAATAGCTGTACCATTTTATATCCCCACTAGCATGTAGGAGAGTTTCAAATGGTCCATCTCTTTGCCAGTACTTGGTATGGCGAGTATTTTTAATTTTAGCCACTCTAATAGAAAATCAGTAGTCTTTTATTGTGGTTTTTTGCAATTCAATTTCCTAATGATCAATGATGTTGAGCATCTTTGCATGTACTTACTTGCCATCCACAGGTGGTATTTGATGAAGTGGCTCATTTTGGGAAAGGGAGTTTGTTATTTTTATGATTTTATTTAT